TCGAAAACAAGTAAGTTAATATCACTGCGAAACACAGAATGACCAGATTGTGCTACCGTGATCATTTGCTACCGGTACTAACCACTAAGCAATGTATTCGTGTTTGTATTTATTCGAAACTTTTTTTAGAACATACTTTACTTTTCGTAAACTTTACTGAATTTTTTGGGAGATTCAATTCCAACATTCGCGATGCCTATTTTAGAACCAAATTAAGGCCTTTCACTCTTCTCTGAGTGTGACACCTAAACGAGTGGTTTTGTGGTGTATAAACTGGCACTAAATGAAAAAGCCGTTGAACCTTATTCAAATTTATAAGTACATGTTATTATGTATTTAATTATGAAAACTGACTAAATTAAATGTGATCTTATTTTTAATTTGAACAGAATTATGATTTATATCGGTAATGATGTTTTCATCCAATATTAATTGTGCAATTGTTAAAATGCCTACCTACACATTTATTGTTTTTGTTTCTGTTGCCCTGAAATAGACATTTGTAAAAAAAAAAATTTAAAAATCATGCTCGATTAAAATTCAAAAAAAAAAGATATACATGTAGCCATCTGTTTCCAACTTCTTCCAGAGTAAAACTGGTGAAGCCATGTAATTGCCATACAATCATCAACTGTGGGAAAACTTGTATATTATTGAAAATCTTTATTTTGTTGTCTGTGAATTAATATAATATTTGAAATGGTGTAATGGTGCAAAATATCTCAAACGAATTTCTGTCTGCTGTGAATGCATGTTTCGTTACATCAAATAAATAACCCAATTTTATTGAATGTATTCAAAAACATGGTACCAATGATCTGAAATTTCAGGAGTGCTCGCTGAAGGTTTATCAATCTTGCTTATTGTCTTGTTCTTTTCCAATCCTGCATTTCAGTTACTAGAATTTATACTAAAAAAAATAGTTTCTGTTTTTCTTCTAATAATTCGGCCACTCTCAAAAACAAATATTTTTCCATGGTCTAAATGCAAGAAGAATACAAAACTACTGTGATTGCATAGCGATACCTGTAGGGCCATAGTCAATTAGTTCGCCTGATCAACACAGCGTTATACATAGGGCTAATATTGAATCACGGAGAGTAAAATCTTGCGATACTAATCTCTAGAACCACTCAAATTGGTACATATGTCTTATGAACCCACATGTGTATATCTTTAACAATACTCATTTTAAACTTTTTTTTTTACAGTGGTGCTGTGAACTGTTTCAATTTCGCAAGGCAACTTTTCCTGGATTCCTACAACATGGAGTGTCAGGGACTTTATTGAAATTTCATAGAATCCTGAATATATCTAGAAGTGAAAATTAAATGGTTTACAGTATTTTATACCCATTAATAATGATTGAAATGCAATAATATCACTGCACTAAAAAGACTTCAAACAATTATTGTTACTTCTCCGAGTCCATTGAAGGTTATGAGCAGACCAACCTTTATCACTACTGGCTTCCTTAATTATTACATGTACTTGCTCTAAATTAACAGATGTTGCTCTATGTACAATGAATACATTTTAAATAATAAACCTTACTGTGTTAACAAATTGTATTTGACAACATGAGAATGATTCTGATACCCAGTGGTGATGTTGAAACAAACCCAGGTCCTGGTAATATACTAAGACCTGAATAACAAAGAAGTCATGTACATCAAGGTTCACTCAGATTTATGAATGCAGTTTCTTGAGCAAGTATACATGTATGACAAATAGTTTTGAACATGGGTGAGTGGAAGATTTTAGTTGTCAGTACAAAACTAGATCATGGGAAATCACTTTATGATGAGTTGTACCCACATAGAGTACATATTCATTCACCTGTTTGCAGATGTTCCTTGTACTACTTTATAGTCAAATAACGGGGACTGTGACATTTCATGTCTTGTTAATATTCATTATACATCATGTCATAGATTTACAGATATATTTGTTTGACAATCCTATTCAAAATGGCCGAATGGTGGCCATTTTTTTGTGCTAAAAAATCATCAAATATCAAGCATTTCTGGCATTTATGTATGGATTTCGTTAAAACTTAGTACATACATTAGACATAACAGGTTTCTGATGCACATCATTTTATTTTTCAGATCGGATTCAAAATGGCTGACTGGCAACCATTTTGTTTTAATGAATAGCCTTCTAGAGCCATATCTTTGACTTGCTTTGACTGATTATGTTCAACTTTTTAATATTCATTATACATCATGTCATAGATTTACAAATATATTGGTTTGACAATCCTATTCAAAATGGCCGAATGGTGGCCATTTTTGTGCTAAAAAATCATCAAATATCAAGCATTTCTGGCATTTATGTACGGATTTCATTCAAACTTAGTACATACATTAGACATTACGGGTTTCTGATGCACATCATTTTATTTTTCAGATCGGATTCAAAATGGCTGACTGGCGACCATTTTGTTTTAATGATTGGGCTTCTAGAGCCATATCTTTGACATGCTTTGACTGATTATGTTCAAATTTTATATATTCGTTATACATCGTGTGATAGATATATTCATATATTCAAAATGGCTGATTTTGTTTTAATTAATGCTGTTCCAGAGCAATATCTCCCAATAAGTACTTGTTTGACAATCAGATACAAATGTCAATCATTTTAATGTTAAACAATCATCATAATCATATTCCTGACATGGTTATATTCCAGCTATATTACTATAAACAAAACTATATATCTTAAATTTGATAACTAACAGGGACTGTGCCATGCATGGCTTGTTGTTTGGGTGGAGGCGTCACTGGGAATAATAGCTATGATGTGTGTGTGTGGATTTAGGTGTGGGGTGGTGGATGGTTGAATGATTGCTGTAATCTGTGAAGAAAGATTTTTTTTATGGGGGAGTCAATGTACATTTTTTTTGCACAATACATACAAACATCTTAACATTTTTTGTCGGATTATCATAAATGAATTGTATTTCTTTTGTAGGGGAACACCTGCTTGCACTACTGTGTGTCTCATGGTAACTTTAGTATTGTAAGCATTCTCTTGGATACACGTGTATGCGATACTAATAAACAAAATAGAGCTGGCTACACACCCATTATGTTGGCATCTTTGGCCATACTTAAAGATGATCAGCAAAAAGAAGTAATACAGCAGCTGTTCCAGATGGGAGACGTCAATATCAGGGCCACTCAGGTGA